GGCACTGTGGCTCACCTCTGGCACATGCAGGTGGATGTGTGAAGTCACCAGGTACTCATTGGTGGGGTCATGCCGCATCAGGAAGGCCCTGGCAAAAGTGTAGGCGATGCGGGCACTCTCCTTCATCACCTCCCCCAACTGGCCTGTCACCTCCAGGCTCCCGTCCTTGTCCTTGTTGTTCTTCTCCTGAGGCCGCCTTGGGGATGTCTCGACAAACAGCGTGGAGCCTCCTAGAAGACACCAGTGTGTAGGGGCTGTAAGCTCTGAGATAGATAGATTCCCAGGGTAGCCGCTCCCCCTCAATGCTGGACCACCACCTGCAACACTTCCTCACCCACCTCTCCTCAGCCTAGCACCTCCTCTGTCTCGTGTCGGCGACCATGCCACCTAAGGGAACCACTGTGCACTGGCCCTACCCTATGTACCTTCACACAGGCTGCCAACACCAGGCACAAATTTTTACATAGCTTTAAATATCACCCAAATGAGCAAACTTTTTGTCAACCAGAGCCTGCTGCCTTTACAAACCCCCCAAAACTGCACCCAACCCCTGCCAGAGCAACACCTGGGCTCTAAAAGACCCTGAAGCCCAAGTGAAGCAATGTCACCTAGACAGAGGTTCCCTCCCCACTCCCCCTGCTGGGTGGTGTCCCAGGGTCTCATGCTGTGAAGGACTGTCCCACATGCAAGCCTGTCAAAAGCATCACCTAAATAAAGCTCATGGAGTACACCTGCCACCTTTTGGCCACTGCTCCAACAGCCCCAATTCCCTTGGTCTCATTGTGCGCCACCAGCCAGCCAGAGGGTGGTTCAGAGCAACAAAGTACAAACTTGTCCCAGAGGACAAACGGAAGGACGTGCAGCACTCACCCATGGCAGTCCAGGCCAGCCCCATGACCACGCCAGGTGGCGTCACTTCATACATGCGTTCCACAGTAAACACCGGCTTCCCCACAAAGTCCTGCAGATTCTCAGGTGTCACCTCCACCAACTCGGCCTGACCACTGACAATCTTGTAGGCGGACTTCCTTAAGACCTGGGGCAGGTGAGGCAGGATGATGGGCAGCCGGCCCCCAGTCACAGGCCCACACTCACCAGATCCATCTCCTTTTGCTTTAATTTTTAAATTGTGTAAAATGCACATCACATGAAAAATGTACCACTGTAGCCATTTCTAAGAGTGCAACTCAGTGGCAATAAGTACATTTCACACTGCTGTGCAACCATCCCCACCGTCCATCTCCAGAACATTCTCAGCTTCCCAAACAAAAACTCCCCGGCCCCTGGCACCCACCATTCTACTTTGATATCTGTGAGTCTGACTGCTAGGGACCTCACAGGAGTGGGGTCAGACAGTATCTGCCCTGTTTCTGGCTCCCTTCAGTCACATCACACCCTCTAGGCCAGCCGTGGGCAAACTACGGCCCGCGGGCCGAATCCGGCCCGTTTGAAATGAATAAAACTAAAAAAAAAAAAAGACCGTGTCCTTTTATGTAATGATGTTTACTTTGAATTTATATTAGTTCACACAAACACTCCATCCATGCTTTTGTTCCGGCCCTCCAGTCCAGTTTAAGAACCCATTGTGGCCCTCGAGTCAAAAAGTTTGCCCACCCCTGGGCTAGGCTCACCTTCTCCACCTGCTTCTGCAGGTTGCGCACTCCGCTCTCCCGGCAGTACTGCTTAATAAGGACAGTCAGCACGTCCGACGACAGCTTGGCCTTGCTTTCATCCAGGCCGCACAGGGCACGGGCCTGAGGCACCAGGTACCGCTGGCAGAGAGGGGAGCTCTGTCAGGATCCTCCTGGGACCTTCCTCATCCCCAGGTCTCAGGATCCAGGGCCCAGCACCCAGCCACAGATCCCTGGCTGGTAAAGATAGGACTGAGGTGGACCCTGCCTTCATGGAACTCTGGTCCTTGAGGAAGCTGGGGTCGTCCAATGAACATAGGGTGTCAGGGCAGGCTAAAGGGTGGCACTGTTGGTGAAAGTAGCCAGTAAGGCTTGGAGGGAGGTGTCAGGGCAGGCTAAAGGGTGGCACTGTTGGCCAGTAAGGCTTGGAGGGATAGTAACAGAGTATCTGGGCAGAGCTCAGTGGGTGCCAGGGCCCTGAACAGTGGCCACCTCTGTGAAGTGTCCACAACCTACAGACCCCCAGCCAACCACCCCTGCTCCTACTACATCCTCTGCCCAGATCCAATTGCTATCCTCTCTCCAGATGACATCTTAGATGTCACTTCCTTCAGGAAGCCCTCCCTGATTCCTGGGCCAACCTCACATACAGACAAGGTTTTGTAGCTGCTGCCCGGAGCAGACTAGAGGCTCCATGGTCACCCACAGCCCAGCACAACTCCTGCTGTACAGCAGTCTCTGGACAGACAGCCCTGAGCACTAGGTGGGGACAGAGCCAACTGACACTGCAGTTGGCCCTGGAGCTCCCACAAGTCCATGTGTCCCTCCTATCATATCCCTTCAGGGATTTGAAGGAAGCCCCCAGCCACACCCTGAATCAGCCCATCCTTCACCCCTTTTGAGTCCTATGGGTGGAGGGCAGATATGGCAGGGAGTCCCAGCACCCCTGCCACCCGAGTCCTTATCCCCTCCCTCCCCCTGGGGCCCAGTGCCCATCTCCGGGCTGCAAAGGCCTGGAGGGGAGAAACCCTTTCCAAATAGTAAACACTGCAGCCCTTCCCTACGCCTCATCCTGTGTCACTCTTGGGCTGTTCCCAAGGTACATCCTATATAATAAACGAGTAAACTAAACTCTTTTCCTGAGTTCTGTAAGCTGTTCTAGTCAACTATCAAACCCGAGGAAGAGGTTGGCTGTAAGAACCCAGCTTACAGCTGGTTGGTCAGAGGAGAGGCCGGGACTTGTGAGTGGCTCCTGAAGTTAGGGCAGTTCTGTGGGATGAGCCCGGAACCTGTAAGTTCTGCCGCTAACCCTGGGTAGTGTCACTGAAATGCAGGACACCCCGCCAGAAAACTGGCTGGTGGGGGCAAACACCCCACACCTGGTGTCAGAGGTGACATTATAGTTTACACATGCCACATGTTTCTTTTGGCTAGACCTCATACTACATACGTGACACGGGGATCAGTATCCTGTCTCCCTCCCACTCAGGTTTGATAGTTGACTAGAACGGGAATGGGAGCTCTGAGAGCAGGGCACTGTGGACTGAACCCCCAACTTTAAGTGCCCAGTACTTAGTGTGCACTCAGATGCCCAATTCTGAGCACAGTGGGGTCCCCCTCCCCAGGGCTCGACAGATGGGACACCTGGCCTCACCTCGGCAATGGCAAGCTTCTCCTGGGCCACATAGCCCGACACGTTGATCATCTCCATCCGGTCCCTCAGTGGCTCTGGGATGGTCTCGATGACGTTGGCCGTGCAGATGAACAGCACCTAGGGAGCCAGTGTGAGGTGCTGGAGAACTGGCCACCCTACCTCTCCCTGCCAGGGTCAGGCCCCAGGCAGGACACACACCTTGGATAAGTCCACGGGCACGTCCAGGTAGTGGTCCAAGAAGTTGGCATTCTGCTCAGGATCCAGCAACTCGAGCAATGCTGACGAGGGGTCCCCCTGGTAACCCCGGCCAATCTTATCCACCTGGAAGGGCATCAGAGGGCAGATGGTGTTGGCACCTTGTGCTGCCCCTTGCACCTGCTCACCAGACACTGAGGCAGGGGAACCAAGTGGGCCCAGACCCCACCTGCACCAGGGACCAGAACTGGAGAAGCCCTGAGAAGGGACAAGAGAGCTGGCCTCACAGCGTGACTGGGCAGACATGGGGTCCTCTGGGGCAGGAGAGGGCCTTGCTGCAGTGAGGCCGCCCACAGTGACTCAGGGACCATCGAAGCCACCAGGCCACGGGTTTCATTGTGAACACAGACTGCCTGGTCAGGGCTGCCTGGGGCTCTGGGTTAGGAGGGCCCTGAAGACAGGGTTTGAACCTCAGGGAAGTGCAGCCACAGCTCAGCCCTCCAGGGCCCACACACACCTCATCTATTAGGATCAGGGGGTTCTCCGTCTTGGTCTTCTTCAGGCACTGTATGATCTTTCCTGGCATGGCGCCCACGTACGTCCGCCTGGGGAAGAGAGCACGCTGGGCAGTCAGTGCCTGCCTCATCCACTGGAGGCCACGTGTGCACTCGCAGGCCCAGCTCCCTTGGAGATCCAGGACCTCAGTGTGCCACGTGCCCTCTGTGGGGAAATGCTGGCTGCTTCTGGCCAGGCCAATCTGCGGAGCACTCAGTCACCCCAACCTCCTTCCCCAGCTCAGATTCAGGGCAGGGGACAGATTCACAGCCAGGTCTCCCTCAGACCCATCCCCTTAGTCAGCACCTCATATCCAGTGAAACCCAACAGAACAAGAAGGACTGGGAGCAGCCAGAAACCAGCACCAGGAACATCCCCAACACCTGGGACAGGAACACAGTGAGAGTTGAGAGAGGAAGAAGGTGAGGGCAGCAAGGGGACGACGGGAGGGCCATGTGGGCCGAGGGAGCTTGGCAGTTTTCAGTATAACAGCAGTCAGTCAGTTCCCCGTCCTTGTCCTTGTTTGGAATCCCAGACTAGCATCAGCAAAGAGCGCCCACCTGCCCATCCTTCTGGGCACCTCTCCCCAATGACCTCCCAACGTCAGACCACCTGCACTTGTGCAGAAACTAAGTCAAAGCCTCTTCTCACCCTGGGGAGTGGTCCTTGCCGCAGCTCCTAGGCAGTCTCCAACCAGGCACAGGGGGTACCAGGGTCCCCTCTGCCTTCCGTCAGGCCCACCCCCAACTTTCAGCCTCCTGCTCAACCAGCTCAGAGGTCAGTACTGAGGCAAGAACCTCCCCAGCCTCCCAGGTCAGCTCCCTGCACCCCTCCACGCTCGGAGTAGGTCTCCCAGGAATATGTGCACCATCCCAGCCTGGTGGCCTCCAATGCTGTGTGGGCCCTGTCCCTTCTTGACCCCTCCTGGAGCTCACACCAGGTTCTGTGCCAGGAAGCCGAGAGACTGCCCACCTCCCTGCGGGTTCGAGTCAGTGAGGGGTGGAGGTCACACCCAACTCACCCTGCCCAGTGGGCGGCCAAAAGTATCCATGTTTTCAGAGACAATAAAAAGAAACTTGTAACATGGACTGAAATCATCCTTAAACACTAGTTTGCCAGGGCTTGGGGGCAGGTAGGAGGTCATGTGGCCAGGTACAAGGGAGAACAAGAAAACCTGTGGGTGGTCCATAGAGATCATGCATCTATTAGTCATTAGGGAGAAGCACCAAGAATAGCCTATGACAGCGCTACCTTCTCCCCATCCGGCCTCCCCACCCCACCTTTGAACACTGGCAACCTGAGAACAAATACAAGTGTATCTGCTACACTTGTGTCTCAAGCAGTTTACACTTTTCCAAGAACCAACCTCTGTGGAGGCCAGCATGGCGGGAAGCTCCAGGAGAACGAAATATCCTGACTGCTCCCCGGAAGGGTGCCAGGCACAGGGCCAGGTAGCTGTAACCAGTTAACTGCCACGATATTTTGAATTTAATTAAAAAAGGTTCCCCACTTGAGTCTATAGACGCTTATGGTGTACAAATGGTTAAGACCCGGGACACAGAAGATACCAGCCCCTGCTCGGGGTCTGATGAGAGAGGAAAGAATCAAGACAGGTGCTGAGGCCTCACGGGTGTGGGCTGGCCCATTCTCACTGGGGAGACCACCTTGCCCCTCACTCTAGTTCAGTCACTGGTCAGACAGCCCAGGCAGAATGGCAAGCGCCAGCCCTGGAACTCTGGTGGGGCTGCTGGGGGAGTTGCTGGTGGGAACTAAGCTGGAAATGCTGACAAAGCCCTCCCTAAGAGGTCAAGATTTGGATCCAATATTTGAGCACCTGGATTCAGTCGGGCCTAGATGCCTCAACTTTTCAGTTACTAACTCCAGTGTGAGTGGAGTTTACTACTTTGCCACCCCAATCACTTTAACAAAGGCAGAAGCAGATCCAGGAGGCTGGGCCTACCTGTGCCCCTTAATCTCGGCCACATCCGTCATGCCACCGACACTGAAGCGGAAGTACTCTCGGTTCAGGGCTCGAGCGATGGAACGGGCGATGCTGGTCTTGCCCACACCAGGGGGGCCGTAGAAGCAGAGGATTTTGCCCTGGGTCGAGCCTCGGAGCTGGCTGACGGCAATGAATTCCTATGGGCAGAGGTGGGCTCCCATGAGACAATCAATCACTTGCTGCTCATTGCCGTTGTGCAGAGTAAGGGCTGTGCCTGACTTGAGTCTGGCCACCTTCTGGTACTTTCTAGGTTTCTGGGGGGTAAGAAGGGACAAGGCCTGTCCTGGAGGAGCCAACCTGACTGCAGGTGTCATCTGCCAAAGGGTGGGGCAGCCTGAGGCACCAATGGGACAAGTAGATGCCAGGAGAACATGTGTGACTGACAATCAACTATGGATGACTACAGTCCAGGCCCATTAGGCAGCTTCCCCACTTAACAGGCTCTTTCCTTCTATATTGTGGATCACAATGGCCTCCTCCTTTCTCCTGGTCTGCCCACGCCCCAATGCCCTCAGCCAGGCCTGTTTTCTTCCCCTTGTAAATCTTTGAGCCCCTGGAGCAGGGCAGGCTGGCTCTGGCAGCCCCTGACATTTCTGAGCCAATCCAACACCTCTGGCCAGGGCCCTCTACCCCTTACCTTCCTGAACCCCTCTGTACCTCCAGACCCCCACATTCACCAGGGGGCTCCTCTGGGTCTCCCCAACAGCAGGGAGGGGATCCTGGGCCCCAGCCCCTGAGGCATCCAGACCCATATGCAAATCCAGACCATTACAGACCACTCCGCTCAGCATCCGCCCTAGGTGCAACGACCAAGTGCCTGGATGTGGGGTTAGGCTGGCCTGTGCCCAGGACCCCGGGGCCCACAGAAGAGAGTATAGGCGGCCTCACCAGGATGCGCTTCTTGACGTCCTCCATCCCATAGTGGTCCTCCTCCAGGACTGCCTGGGCCCGGGCCAGATCCAGGTTCTCGTCACTGTACTTGCCCCATGGGATGGACGTCAGCCAGTCCAGATAATTGCGGGTGACGCTGCCACAGGACAGACCAGAGTGGTGAGTGGGTCCCCGCGAGGCACCTGGCCCCTGCTGTTGCAAATCCATGTGGCTGGTACCCACTGAGCCCAAAGCGTGAACTATACCAAGTGCACTTGGCTGGCAGGCTGGCAGCACTCTGGAAAGCTCTCTCAGTGAGGGCCACAACTGGGAAGTATCCTGGTTCCCGCCACAAGTGCCAGGCCGGTTTCCCAGACCAGAGGCACAGTGAGCATGGGGACTACTCAGGGTCTAACACCATGGAAGGGACAGTGCTTAGAATGGAGGGGACAACCTAACCCAGGGCAAGTGAGGAGACTGAAGCCTGGGTGGTGGCAGGTCAGCATTACCAAGAGGGTAACCCTGCCTGGGAGTTGTGTATCAGGGACAGGGGCCTAGAAGAGGCCCCTCCCTAGGGTCCGAATAAGAGACTGATTAATTCATGTTTTAAGGCTCTAGTTCAGTGGTTCTCAACCTTCCTAATGCCGTGACCCTTTAATACAGTTCCTCATGTTGTGGTGACCCCCAATTTCATTGTTACAAATTGAACATAATTAAAGTATAGTGATTAATCACAAATACAATATGTAATTATATGTGTTTTCCGATGGTCTTAGGCGACCCCTGTGAAAGGGTTGTTCGACCCCCAAAGGGGTCGCGACCCACAGGTTGAGAACCGCTGCTCTAGTTTATAAACACTTGTGACAGCAGCATGAAAGCTCATTAGCTGCCTGAGGAAGAAAAGCTGGGGCACCTCTAGAATGGAGGCATCAGCATCTCCCAGGGTCCTGTAGAATGTGTCGCCCTCCCCAAACATCCTGAGTCAGGGAGGGGCCTGGTGCTTGGGTCCTCCCTTCAGAAGGGCCATTCCAGGACCTGCCAGTCCACAAAATGCCCAGGAGCAACGCCCAGTCCCTCGGATCTGACACCAAAGGCCCTGAGCCTCTCTGCCCAAACCCTGGGAAGCCATCCTGACTCACAGCCAGTGTGGGAGGGACAAGGACTGCTGGTCAAGGCCGAGTTCCCAATAAAATACGCTTACTTCCTGGCTGACTCTCAAAGCAGCAAGAGGGAGGCCAGAGGACAGAAGCCAAGGGAAGAGGGTGGCCACGGGGTGGCGGTTCAGGGACTCCTGGCTCTGGCTGGAAGCACTAGCTTAAAGCCATATGTCCTTGGGTTCAAATCACTGTTCCCGACTACCAGCTTAGAGGCCCTGGTCACTGTCTTGACTTTCCTGAACCCTGATTTATCTGAGAAATGGGGGTGACAAAGGCAGGTTCCGCACAGGATGGTTTGAGAGGACTGATGCATGTGACGGGCTGTTTAAGACAAATGCTTGTGCCAGTGCCGGTGGCGTCCTGGCACATGCCAGACCCTGCCAGGTCACAGGCTTTTCTAAGAGCCAGATGTGACAGAGGAGCCAGCACCGCTGCCCCCAGGCACTCACTTGAACTCTGAGGAGTGGTTGTCTAGCAGGCCCAGCTTGCTCAGCTCCTCATCCACAACGTCCATGACGTGCTTGGGGACCACGAGCTCCTTCAGCCGCTCGCGGAACTTTTCCTCAATGGCGTCCTTGTCCTCCTTCTCCAGGCCTAGTTCCTTCTTGATGATCTTCAGCTGCTCTTGCAGGAGGTACTTGCGATGTGTCTGCTTGATTTTCTCCTCCACCTGCGGGGCCAAGAAGCTGCCCTCAGACCGGAGAATACACAGTCCAGTCTTGAAAAAAAGCTTTGGAACCTTTCCCAATCTGTTCCCATTTCGTACATTTTCCCCAGGACTCTGAACGCAGAGAGCTCCTCCCCCTCGAAGGGGGATGGTCAGACGGAGACCTCTTTCTCTGGGTTCAGCCGCTAGGATCAGTTGTAATTTTTAACCTAATGAGTTTCACAGCCCAAGTGCACGCAGCCCTTGGAACACAGAAGGGCTTCTCAGCTCGAGGCTGTCCCCACCCCACTTACCTCCCGCCCCAAGCGCTGCTGCAGCTTGCTCAACTCAAACTCCTTCTTGAGGAGGGACAGGGCCTTATACAGCCGCTTGGGAATCTGCCAAAAAAAGGAGACATCAATCAGAATGGTGTCCATCTCTGTAGGAATGGGGGAGTAGGGGGAGGGGGTTCGGGGCACTCAGCAAGCTGTTGCTATAGAGAGCTTAAACCAGTGATGGCAAACCTTTTGAGTTCGGCATTTTGAAAAACCCTAACTTAACTCTGGTGCCGTGTCACATAGAGAAATTTTTTTATATTTGCAACCATAGTAAAACAAAGATTTACATTTTTGATATTTATTTTATATATTTAAGTGCCATTTAACAAAGAAAAATCAACCAAAAAAATGAGTTCGCGTGTCACCTCTGACACGCGTGTCATAGGTTTGCCATCACTGGCCTAGACTGTAACAGACCACTAGCCACACTTTAACAAAAAGAGGCATGCACCCCTGTTCCAACAAGCCAGGTTCTGGAAACACCTTCTACAGATAAAACTCCATCAGGTACTCAAGCTGTGTGGATCAGGATGTTTGTACAGGTGTTTGTAACAGCAAAAGACTGGTGACAACTCAAATATGCCACCACTAAATCACGGACACCACCTGATGGAATACTATGCAGCAGTTAAAAAGAATGAGGGAGCTGGATGTGAATGAAGGACATGTGCTGATGTGAAATCATCTCAAAAAGGGAACTGAGGACACCAGCCAGCCCAGCCAGCCTGGGAAGCGGCCCAGCACGCAGCACAGGCCCGGCACAGTGCATGTGCGGACAACTCACATTGGTCTCCTCCAGGACATCCTGCAGCTCGTGGGACTCTGCTCCAGTCAGTGCGGCACCCATGTCGCTCAGGTAGATGGGGTTGTCTACCACCCTCTGGCCCGCCTGCATCATCTGCAGCACAGACTCTCTGGAAGGGACAGAGGGATGCTGTCATAGGGCACGAGGACCATGACAGCAGCTGGGACTTCACCCCTGCTGGCCCTGTCTCATGGTCCCTAGCAGCACTGAGAGCCAGCATTGCATATGGGCCTCCCCCGCTTCAGGACCAGTAGGGCCTCCTTGTCCTAGAATCATGAGTCTAACACCTCCAGCCCAGATAGAAGCCCCCTGCAGCAGCCACGTGGTAACCTCATAAGATCCCCCTTCACTCCAACTAATGACAACAAAGGCTTCAGCCAAATCCAGATCCTTGTTAGCAGGAAGACGGCAAAGAACCTGGGCCAGGTCAGCCATCCCACCCCAGGATGTCCCTGTTAGAAGGGAAGAGGTTCCACCTGCACAGGACTGGGCCTGGGTGTCAAATTCCTGCCCCCAAAAGGTTTTCAACCAGGACGCTCTTGAGAAAAATTTCTGCCAACCCAGGTGCCACAGAGAGAGCCCAGCCTGGCCTCAGGAAGGGCTAGCCACACATTCTGGTTGGGGAGCGTGCAGGACACCCACCTGTAGAGTGGGTTCAAGGCAATGATGTCCCGGATGGTCTTCACGATCTCAGCTGTCAGGGCCTGGAAAGTGAGAAGACTAGCATGGATCACGGGGTCCTGGGACCAGTGGGGCAAGGGGCACTGTGGCCCTAGGGAGCCTCTCCCACCTGGTCCTGGACAAGGATGGCCTTAGAGACCCAGGAGCAGAGCCAGAATTCACCAGTCACGGAGACACCGAACCAACTGAGCAAATACTAAAACCAACTCCATCTCCTTACACCATTCTAATCTTAGAACGAGGCGTTTTGGGGGTGGAGGGGGGCATGTCTTACAGAGGGAGCGGGGGTTTTCTTTACTCTTTTATCACTCACAACTGACACTCCTCATCCTTGGCCACATAACACGCAGGCTATGACTTCTTTGTCTGGGATCTGCCTGAGTCACTAGGGCTCTCAGTCTGTTCCTCCTGGAACCTGGCCACAGGTCCCTGTAGAGGTGGGGCCCTAGGCTGTGGACCTATGGGTACTGCGTTCCTTCTTGCCTTTGTTCCCTGCCACAGTGAAGCTGGTCTTGTTCTGGCAGGACCACCAGGCAGTTTACAACATACATACCCACACCTCATTTGTTTCCAGAAGGCCCGGTTTGCAGCATATTGTACTCCAATGAGGGCACCGGTGGGCACGAAGCAAGCAGCCACAACGGCTGGGGTTTTCTAGTCTAATCTCGTGGTATCTAGTTATTGGATTTGTCCCTGAATTGCCTGAGTTGATCTTTATTGAAGGAAGCCAGCTGAAGGTCCATCGCCCTTGCGTGAACAAGGATGAGTGCGCTGTCTCTCCAAGGTCCTTGATTCTTTTTCCTTTTTTATTCAAGCCCTTGTGTTGAGGGCTGACTTTCAATAAATCACAGTGGGGGAGCTGCTCTGCTACATACAGGTCGTCTACGAATGGTTCAGCACCGTTTCCCACGAATGTGCCTTGCATGATGGGAGAAGGGACAGCCCCTTTCCAGCCCAGCCTGTTTCCCAAGACAAGAGCTTTCTGCACCAGCCCCCCAGCCTGGTCCTCAATTTTTTTCATAACACCATCTATGTCTGCCTTTCCCCCACTACACAATCCTCATAGGAAACTCTGAAGCTGTGCTGTTTATGACATATAAACCCACACCTCAGTTCGGCAGCCACTGGTAGCTATTCACTGAAATAAAATGAGTGTTCTGTTGCTCAGTTGCACCAGCCATAGGTAGAGTGCTTAATAGCCACAGGTAATGGTGCTGAATTGCAGAATATTTCCACCATGGAAGGTTCTCCCACACAGCTCTGCTCTCAAGGGCCCGGGTGGCCCTGGACTGCTGGTACAGGCCAGTGGCAAACGCATCCAAGCCCCTTCCAGCACCCAAAGCTGACATCACCAACCAATCACAGCACTCCTTCCCTCGGAGCTCAGAAGCTGCCCCAGAAAACTTCTCAACAGTGCCTTGGTGTCCTGGCTGGATAGCTCAGTTGGTTAGAGCATGGTCCCTATATGCCAAGGTTGCAGGTTCAATCCTCAGTCAGGGCACATACAATAATCAACTCGTGAATACACAAATTAAGTGTAATAACAAATCAATATTTCTCTCGCTCTCTAAAAATAAATTTTAAAAAAAGAAAAGAAAAAACCACAGTGCCTCAGAATCAGACCAAAGCTATTCACTATATTCCTACCCAGCAGTCACCCTGTCCAGAAGTTGCACTAGAAGAGCAGGTGGAAGAACACTCCCACCACCACCTTGAAAGTTGGCTCACCAGGAAGAAGGCTGTTTCTTTCCTGTCTCAGAGCCCGAGTTCCCGAGGAATGTGCCCTGCTTCCCCGCCCCGATGCACCAGGCTTGGGGGGAAGGCCGGAGGCACCTGCCCGGAGATCGCAGGCTGTGGCTGGACCTGGGTTCAAATCCTGCCTCCTTCCAGAGCAGCTAAGGACCCCAGTGGATTTCCTTCACTTTTCTCATCCCAGTTTCTCCCAAGGACTTTTGTGAGGAAAAGTGTGCTTTGCACTCTCAAACAGTGAGTGCTGCAACAGGCTAGCCCCTTCCTCAGGAGTGCTGACTCACCTTCACTTCCTCTGTGACCTGGAAGTCCTCATGGACAACATTCTCGACTTCCACCATGAGCACCTCACTGGGGGTGCCTGAGTTGGGCTCCACCACCACCTCCATCTGGCGCCTGACACCCAGATCCTCCTCCACCTCCTTCTTGCTCCGCTTGGGCTTCCGGCGGGGCTTCTGCTTCTCAGCCTCAGCCTCCTCCGGCTCCACCTCCAGCTGTCTGCTGATGTGAATCCTGTAGCCGGGAGCGAGGCAGAGATGGAGCCGCTGAGGTTGGGAGGGACCATGCCCTAATGAGGTCCCCAGTGCTGATAACTAAGGGTCCTGCTGGGCCCAGGGCAGGGTAACTACAAACTCTGGAGCTGAAGACTGAGCTACTTTCTCAGAACCCAAAGACCAGCATCCCCCTCTGCCCTTAGACTCCAGCAGACCCATCCATTCCATTCCCACACCAATACCCCACTGTCCTCCACAAACTGATGGATGAGCCAGTGGAAACCAGTTCTGGGGACCATTATGAGCTGCCACCTCGGCAGAGCCCATCTCTGGGACTCTGCCTCCCTCTCTTACTCGGAGCTCACCCCTTCGTGTTATTCAGGCCTCGATTCAAGGGCACCTCCTCACGAAGGCCAGATCCCGTCACCCTGCCCATCCTCATCTCCCCCCTTCCCTAAAGCACCCACCACCATTTGATTTCAGCTTGTGGCCTGTTTTCATGCCTCTGGTGTCCCCCCACTAGGGGTGCTCCCACCCTGTCTCTCCATCCAGGTGTTGTATGACGTGTTCCGCCTCCCCTCTGTCACACAGGTAACTAACAATGGTGCCTTCCTCAGAGAAGGGTCTGACAGCCACCACAGATGCCTACTCGGTGCCCAGCTGTCATCAGCAAGGTGCACAGAGAAAAGGAGGCCTGGCCTCAGGAGAGAGGGCTCATTCTATAGGGCACCTCATTCTGTAAGGCAGGGCAGTTAGCAGGCACCACTGTTTATTAATTCGAACTGAATCTTATTCTCTTCCCTCTGGCTCATGAGTCCTTCCAGGACACAGAGAAACAGCCCCTTCCCTAAGAGACTAGCGGGAACAGAGGAAGGGGTGCGGAGGCTCAGTGCAGGGACTTTCACAGAATCAGGGCCCGGCACAGGCCCTTTCCCCAGAATGTATCTGGGGTGCTGCCCAGCTGACACAAGAAAAAGGCTACGTGAGAAAAACGATGGAAGACTGAATTCAATAAATGCTGTCAGTGTCTCCAATGAGGGGCTTTCCAGAACATTCACTATATCTTCACTACACGTTATCAGCTTGTACTCCGACATGTTTTCATGTATGTTTGATCACAGGACTCTTGTGAAGCGTCTCACAGGACCAGTGTTCCTTGGAACACATGTGAAAAGCTGGTTAGTTCCTCTATTGCAGTGGTTCTCAACCTTCTGGCCCTTTAAATACAGTTCCTCATGTTGTGACCCAACCATAAAATTATTTTCGTTGCTACTTCATAACTGTAATGTTGCTACTGTTATGAATCGTAATGTAAATATCTGATATGCAGGTTGGTCTTAGGCGACCCCTGTGAAAGGGTCGTCCGACCGCCAAAGGGGTTGCGACCCACAGGTTGAGAACTGCTGTTCTATCGAGAGCTTCAACCTTGCAGATTTTTAAAATTAATCGTGATAGATACAAGGGCTTAAACTGGACTTAAACATATGCAGTCCTTTGACAGTTAATAATTCCATGGACCACAAGGA